ACAAGTACAAGTACCAAGTACTCTTCCTAAAGTACAAGTACAAGTACAAAGTATATGTTCGAAATACTTGTACTTGTACTTTTTACTTGAAAAAGTACGAAAAGTACAAGTACAAATACTTGCGTCCTAGCTCTGTTCACTATACTTGGCGTTACTTCTCCGTACTTTAAACTACTTTGATACTTTACAGAACTTTACGGTACTTTATGCTTTGAAGTTTGCATTTTCCCCCTTGTATAATATACTCACTTTATAATCATTTCCATTAGTTGGTGATTGTCATTATTCTATTCGTTCGATGTACAAAGATAGGCATGTCGCATAGTTATAAATCTGACTTTTATATATCAGTAATCTTTGCATGACAATCAAGTACTCAATGGAAGATTTCTATCTGAAAGACAGAAACAGTTTGTAGTGATAATAATAATAAAATGTTCATCTTAATAAATAGCATTTTATTATTCTTGTGCTTAATTGATACTAAAGAATTCTTCTAAAAATCATGTTGGATGACCATAGAATTCATTATTACATTTTTCTGTTATTCGACAAAACTATTAATATGATATATACCAGAAAAAAGGAAATATCAATTAGAATTATTTCTTATATGATAATTTAAAATACTTTTACAATTCAAACGTACTATTTCAAAAATTTATTTTATTTTATTAAAATTGAATTGTTAAGGAGACATGTATAAAAACGTATACAATCTGATTCAATACATATTATTATATTCGATTTGAGTTCAACTAAATTTATTTTTCACTCTATGCTATTTTTAATTTTTTCTCACAGATTTTTCATGACAAACAGCAACTTCTATCGACTAAATGTTATAAGCAGTATTTTCATATGGATGTGTTCGATTTTTGTTCATTGTGTAGTGGAACTTTAAACTTGAACTTAATCATTTATTTTGTAAGAATAGTAATAATAAATATATTAGAATAAAAATGATTATGAAATCACATTGAGCATTTCTCTTTTATCAGTTTAACATTTCAGAAAATGATGATAAATATTGAGCTTGTATATGAGATTTCTATGACGTCGCGATTATTTTATATAAAAGAGTCAATGAATCAATTTTGCTTTTCTTCTTTAAATTATCGTAGCTATTCAGCCATTAAATATTAAAATAACATATCAAAACCTAGAAGATTTAACAAGAACGATATCATATCTATAGTGGGTAGGTGTGGGTGTGCGTGTGCGTAATATATATTGCTGTTGTATCCAGACCCACGCCCACACCCTCTAATGCACTTGGTGGTGGTGCTGATGATGACAATCATCATCATCGTGTTGATAAAACAGTTCAATCTAATATAATAGATGATGAATTGTATTTGGAAACATATATAAATCAAAATGAAAACTATGATGAATCGATTATTAGACAACTTTTAGCTCAGATCAATTTAAAATTGTTGAAAAATAATGCATTTGCTCTATTTACAGTTTCGAATTTTTTAATAAGTCTTGGCTTTTTTGTTCCATATAATTTTGCACATGATCTTGCAAAAGATGGACATGTGATAGAAAGTCATAGAAAATTCGTTCTTATGGCTATTGGTTTTTCTACTTGTATTGGTCATATTATCATTGGTTATTTAGCAGATCAAAAATGGGTATGAACTGATGATGATGATAATGATGGAAAACTGTCTTTTGATTTTTTTTCTTTCTCAGATGAATCGTCTGATATTATACAATGCAACATTAATTATAGCTGGTATATCTACAATAGTTGCTTCATTTAATGGTTCTCATATTCTTTCTCATATAAGTTATGCTTCATTTTTTGGTTTCTTTTCCGGTGGTTATATTGATTTAACTTCAATAATTACTGTTGATCTTGTTGGTCTAAATAAACTATCAAATAGAATCGGTATTACTCTACTTTTTCAAGGTATTGCAACTGCTATTGGAACTCCGGTGGTTGGTAAGTAGAGATTTATTGTTTTTCTTAATAAAAATTGATTTGTACAACTTATGTTTTGTTGTTTAGGTGCAATCTGTAATGTATTTGAATCACATAATAATCCATTTCTTTGGTCTTATTTTATTTTTGGTGGTTTTGTTGTATTAAGTGGTGGTATTCTATTTGCAATTCCTGCATTGATACGAAGACAAAAAGCTCAACAGAATATAACTAAATATCAAGCGGACATAAATGTTCTTTCTCATTAATAGAGACTTATATTATCTCATGTAAAAATATAAATAGAAATAGTGTTCTAATATTAATTAAATCGATATACAATAATATTTATATTTCTTCTCACACATAAGAATTATTATAGGAAACATATATCAAGACTAAATTATATTTAGAGTTTTGTTACTATTGTGTTAGAAAAAAACAGTTAAATGATACTTAGTAATAAGTTTCAAGACGATTTTTATGGTGAATAATCATTATTTATCTTATATGACACGTCAGAATTCATATACTAAAGCGAATGAAAAATGCATTGATACGTATAATCGATTGTAAACATATTTTTATTTTTTATTATTATCAATAGTATAGAAATTAATCATACATATGGATAAAACATGAATGTTGAGAATATTGCTGATTTTTCGTCACACTTTTGTAAATATATGAACATCCTCAAAGTAATAATATAAATGAAAAGGTTTATTTTTTTAAATATTCAATAATATAAAATACACATTAGTTTTTACATATGGCTATTTTTTCAAGCTCAACAATTGATTATTTCATTTTTGAAAGTAATATTATTCTTATTCAATAAAATCATATTTTTATAATATAAAATCTATAGTTTGTGCGAGTTATGATTCACAATCAACAACTAGGATTAAGAATAAAAATAAACATCCTACGTTTTTTTCCGTAGTATATTATTGTATTAGAAGAAATAAAAGTTATGTTTATCTATTGATCTTGTCAAGTTTAATTATCAAATTAATCAGATGATGATAAGAACGAACAATAAAATGATATTGATATAAATAGAATAGTAATATTATTATTTTTGATGTATCTCTCTATTGATTTGAATCGTTTATTTTCTATTTATTCACATGAGTCAAATACTTACAGTAATAAAGTAGTTTATATAATTAACGAGATCAGTCATATAAAATCTTACTTATTGTTTCAAATAAAATATTCTCTTAAATAATATACAATCGTCAAGTTTAAAATAAGGTATGATGTGATAAATAATTTGTTTCTTTTTTTGTTTTCCTGATATATTTTGATTAAAATAACTTTTTATGAAAAATACATTTGACATTGAAAATTCTTGAATCAATATTCGATTATTTTTGTGCACATTCATTTTGTGTAATAATTTAACTAAGATTTATTTACTGATGAGGGTAGAAATATTATGATTAATTATAAATAATAATAATGATGATGATATGTAAAATTATTTTTTATTTCTTATAGTTCGAATCAATTCTACTATGATTAATTCAGAGATTTCAAATGAACCTGAATTTTTTGTACAAGATTCTTCTCTTAATTTACAACGAAATAAAACTTCACCAAATATTATTAATAGAAATAGGAATTTAACAATATTTAATCTACCTGCAAGATTATTGTATATTAATAAATTGAATATATTCTACTTGAACAAAGGTCAACTTACAAAAATTTTCTTAGTAAATCTGATGTACTAGGAACAAATAGTGAAGGGGCTCAAGCAATTGATATAAAATAAAGATTGTCCTAAAGATTATCAGCCCGTAACAATAACATTAGAACGGCAATGTAAAATTTATTTAAGTCGATTGAGTTGAAAACATTTTAGAACTAACGTTGAACGTTGTCGAAATCCATAAAAAAATCAAGAGCTAATACTTGAAAAACTACAAATTTACAAATTGATTAATATCCTGTTAATAGAACTAAAACAATATGGGTTTTTAGGCTATGCTGATTTACAAAAATATAATTATTCTATGGATATATTACATATGATTGTAGTGACGTTAATCTTTTAATTGTCATAGGATAAAAAAAAAGATATATCTATTTTTATTTATAATATTTTATAAAATAATTTCTATGACTTAATATTGAATCTTTTGAAAAGAATTCTTAAGTTTATTCTAGGAAATCTCTTAAGTATCGATGTTTCAAATACTAGATTCATATCCTCTCATTACTTCTTGTCTTTATTCATATATAATATCTATGTAAAAGAGTATATGAAATGATATTTGTGGCTAATCTTCATCTACAAAAGTGAATGTATAATGAAATATAAATTGTGTCAATAAGAGAAGTCTCGGATTTAAGGAATTAGAACTTTCGACTTATCGTTTATCACTTTTTTATTATATGTGAAACCTTTCTCTATTCTTATTTTTTAAATTTGTTTTTTTGTTATTCTCCATTAGATTTCAACAGGTCTATCAGATTAGTGAATAGAATAAAAGATAAGAAAAAATAAATAAATATGGAATGTTTTCAGCAGTGGCTGACTTCCGTGAATTCTGATGTCCTGATGAATCCACGGAATCCAATGAAGTCGCGGAATCCAAGGATGTCACGGAATCCAATGAAGTCACGGAATCCAATGAATCCAGTGAAATCGCGGAATCCAATGAATCCACTGAATCCAATGAAGTCACGGAATCCAACGAAGCCACGGAATCCAATGAAGTCACGGAATC